TTTACGAAAAAATCGGGTGAGATGGGTGGTCTGGGACACCCTGTATATAGTACTGTAAAAAATATTTATAGCACTTTAAGTTAAGAAAATACAAATTCAATTGGTATATGAAAATCAATATTAGTTAATCTACGAAAATCCATTACAGATAACAAATGTGCACATGTGCTCGCGTAGTTATAGGTCTAAACGTACGAAATATATATGATAATATTGGTAAACTTTAGCTTATAATTTACTGTTTAAAATTCAAAATTTTCGTAATCTTAAAACTCCTATGTACTCGCTACAACTATTTCTATTTGATGACAGCAGAAGCGAAATACATATTGAGAATACTTGCGATTCAAATAAAAAGAAAAACTCAAAAAATAATATTCATGATCAATCCATTACATTAATAAAATGTTTTGAACATTTTCTTTCTGCCGTAACAATCAATAACCGTAACATTAACAAAATCATGAGAAAAGTTAAATAAAAAGAAAGGTTGCGTATCATTTTACGATTATTGATCGTGGCCAAACCAATTGTAATGGTTAAAAAATTTAATTTTTTTTGTATTTTTCATAACCTTCTAATCTTAAAAATGTGATTCTAAAGTGTTTTAATAAAATCCTTGAAAAGCACTGTGATATATGATTTTAAAGCACGCCGTATACGGCGTGAAAATATGATTCACGATGTGCACGTCCGATAGATGAACTCAATGTAAATATTCTTACGATTGGTTTAAGTTCTGAAAGGTAATAACAAACTCAAAAGCAAACATAGCGCATACTCAGAATAATAATAAAAGTAACAATTCTATTATTTGGATGTGCTTGTTTCTAAATATATATGACGTTCAAAAATAATTAAAACATTGCAAAAATAGCAGCTATTATTTTTAATGATGGATACCATTCCGTCTTGCAAATGTTTTAAATAATGGAAATAAGAGTCAGGCCGCAACACCAAATATTCGCTAACAACAAAAATAAGCAATGGTTCAAAGCTGCAAAGATGTACGTATCACAAGAGTTATAAAGAAAGCAAGAATGGAGAGAAAGGAAGAATTAGTTGCCCAAAATGAATTATACGAAACTAAGGATTTGATGTATAGAAATAGTCGATTAAACGTAAGTTGCAAATATTTAATGTTATTTCTAAAAAATGAATCGTTTTTCAAACTTTAAACTGTGTTTTTGTCAAAATAATGTTATTTAAATCAGCAGTAAAGATAATTTAAAGCATAATTAATCGGTAGACTTGAAACTTTACCTACTTTCAATAGATATTTGTCATTGTAGGATGAACCTAAAGAATTCAGGAAAATATTGAAATAAATATTATTTTGTTAGTACACAATGGCAAAAGAAATGCGAAATTTCAATTTCAATTTATTCGATTTTCAAACAGTTAATATTTCTGCACTTTCCGTTCTATTACTTTTAATTTAAGTTCATCATCCAACTGTATGCATATTATTTAAGATATTTTCTTATTTCAGATGATTTAAATAAGTGCTACCTTTCTTCCCAATTGCAGCGGCACTTCTTGCAGTCATAAGTTTAAGCACATCTTACTCATACATCTATAAGCGTATACACAAATATTCATACATTTTTAAAACGATATTGAAACGTTTTATATATCATAACTAGAAAATAGTTGCAAAACTATGCGTAATTAAAAGTTGAATCTATGTTAAAATTAAACTATTTTATATTACAGCATTATTAAACTAGACACAAGGCAGAGCGGGATATTGAGGAAATATATTCATAATATCGATATTATATGATCTAATAAATTGTTTTATATCTTAATAGTAAATATAATAATTTGTATTTATAATCCACACATTTACGCCTAGACTTGCGGAATTTAAATAACATAAAAGTGTTTGACTGATTATGAATGGAAATGTAATTCGTCCGTTTTATTAGATAACATCTATATGCTCATTAAATCTATTTCATTAAATCATGATTAACTTGATTTTCTTTTCCTTTGTATTTTATAGACAGCAATGTGATTCAAGAAGAAATGGTAAATTATAATCATTTAATTGATATTACTCTAATTCTTTTCTTTAAAATAAAATTATAAATTATTTTTAAAATAATAAAATAATAAATTTTCCATTCAATAACATCTCTAATGAGTATTTGGCGGAATTACATAATTTGCACAAAACCGAAATAAGTGACATTATTAAATAACGAAGTTCTTTTCGAACGTGATACCGTGAAATAACTATACTGAAATACATTGCTACGTCTAAGTAAATATTTGTTAAGGAATATTGAAGTAGTTAATTTATTTATTTTATTTGGATTTCGAAATAAATATTACTTGTACGTGTCATTTTTTTAGTCAGAGTGCCATATTCAAATAATATTTACTTAATACAAATAAAATAAACTAATCCAATATTTCTTAGCAAATATTTATTTAAACGTAGCAATTTTTTTCTGTGTAGGACACTTTTATAATAAGAAAACTTCTTGCAGAGAATGACTTAAGTAAATAAAGGTTAATTATCTCGAAACAAATCCATTATTAGTTGGCTCAATCCAGCAAAATATCGAATTCATTATATATATGGTGTAAATGATTGCCTAAGTTAAACTAAATTTTCAACATAAATGGTTCTCTTAAATTTAAAATTGTCATCCAAGGTAGATAGGTGGTATAGTTCTCGTTTGAGAACATTTGATAAAATAGCACGATAAACACGTTCGTTAGACGAAACGTGATATCGACTGTTCTTTCGCTACGCGTTTCAGTATTTGTCAGTAATCATTCGAGAAAGAGATTCGTATTTTATATTTCATATTTCGTAATATATGTGACTATATTTACAGCATCCGAAATTACTGTGAGAAATTTCCATTGGATCCTTTCGAGGGAAAGCGAAGCTAGAGACATTGCTGCGATGATATACTCTTCTTTCTAGATTTTCAATCTATACCTACGTAATTATTAGTAGAGCTTTTATCATAATAATATAAGTGATACGGAATTTTGAACAGAACTCGTCTCCGTTCATCGCAGAAGGAACAAAGCGAAATAGGCGCAAATGTCCAGTCGTAGACTTCAATTAAAGCAATCTTGTCAATCAAGCCGGGGCCCTAAAATTTAAGTTAGGACTGTATCCGAATGTGATCCGTGCAAAAAATGTATCGTTGTCCATTTTGATGAGTGAATATTACTCGTCGTCGTAGGACCTTGCCCGGCGATTACGCTCTAGCAGAGATACACTTGGAACCGTGCACCGTGCAACATAACAACTGCACTGTCCTAGACTGGTTCTGGAGGTGGATCGCACCCTTTCACACTCTCTCTAGGTTGAATCATTACCTCCGTTTGTTCTTTTGTTAATTCGTGATCCTTTGTGATATCAAAATCTTGCTCGGCCATGAAACTTCGTCGAATTGCACCGTTTGCCACTGAAGATAGATCGTTCCTTTGACGTTGCGTGTCTCGCCACGGAGTTGTTAGGATTTTAAATTTCTGTAAAAAATAAATAATTAATATGGAATATCCACGGTAACTTTCTTCTATTTTAATAAGTTTTGTTATACTTGTGGCTTAAAATTAAGAGATACATCGACAGATTATCGAGATAAAGTAACAGCGCCCGTGGTTAGGAGGTGAATGAATGACCAACCGCTAGTTGAGATTAAAAACTAAGAAGAAATATAAAGTGATAATCGTTTTTTGTTTATATATAGTAGATGATATTAGCAAGTTTTTTTTAGGATGTTTTCTAAGCTTGAGAGGTTTCAAAAAATTTTTTTAAAAAATAATTTTTAAGATTATAATCTTAAGATATTAATATCTTGTAAAAATATTTCCTAGAAAAAATAAAAATATGCAGGCCAAGATATATAGGTGAAAATGACGCTGCACATGATCTGCTTGACAATCAGGTAGCATATACCTAATGGCTGCCTTCGATCTTTTCTGTCTTATGAACAGTGAAATGTAAATATATATATTTTATATATTTTTTATATACACGGTGACCCATTTTAATCGACAAACGGAAATATCTTCGAAACTACACAGTCTACGAAAAAAATGTTCGGATAAAAGTTGTCGAGGACAGTGGGGGTCATCTACTTGTGCTAATGACCTTGAACTTGAGGTCAGTTTTCAAGGTCATTTCAAGGTCAAGGTCACTTTTTTAAATGGAACCCCCTATTTTTAATGCCGGATTCAGAAAGAGCGGGAAATTTTACATCCAGATATGTATCAAAGTATAAGGTTAACGTGACCTCCATAGGTCAAATGAAGGTCAAGAAACCACCCCTACCAAACCCCAAGCAGGTTAAACCACCTAACTCTGGGAACAGCGAGTGTATAATGTGAGTAATCGCTTATTTTTCTTGAAATGATTTGATGAATTAATAGTTTTAAATGTTGCTCCGTACAGTTTAATTACAAATTTTTTAAACGAATTAAACTCTCTTTAAAGCCACTTTCTCAGTATGGCAGGCTACCTTGCAAATAAAATTAGTGATATGATAGTAGTTTGCCATAACAACTACCTTGCTATATGAAGGCTTTTACTAAATGTTTTCCAGATGAAAGACATCCTAACAACTAAGCAGTTCGAAACCTACCTCAATAAGTTCGTGATAGAAATCTGGTTCGACAACGTCGACATCATGAATACAACAAAGATAATGCACGAGCTTGTGAGTCAGTCTACTTGTGGATTGGAATTCAATTTATTTAAAAAAAAAATAAGCGATTACACTCGCTGTTCCCAGAGTTAGGTGGTTTAGCCTGCTTGGGGTTTGGTAGGGTTGGTTTTTTGACCTTTATTTGACCTATGGAGGTCACGTTAACCTTATACTTTGATACATATCTGGATGTAAAATTTCCCGCTCTTTCTGAATCCGGCATTAAAAATAGGGGGTTCCATTTAAAAAAGTGACCTTGACCTTGAAATGACCTTGAAAACNAACAAAGATAATGCACGAGCTTGTGAGTCAGTCTACTTGTGGATTGGAATTCAATTTATTTAAAAAAAAAATAAGCGATTACACTCGCTGTTCCCAGAGTTAGGTGGTTTAGCCTGCTTGGGGTTTGGTAGGGTTGGTTTTTTGACCTTTATTTGACCTATGGAGGTCACGTTAACCTTATACTTTGATACATATCTGGATGTAAAATTTCCCGCTCTTTCTGAATCCGGCATTAAAAATAGGGGGTTCCATTTAAAAAAGTGACCTTGACCTTAAAATGACCTTGAAAACTGACCTCAAAGTGAAGGTCATTCGCATAAGTAGATGACCCCCACTGTCCTCGACAACTTTTATCCGAACATTTTTTTCGTAGATTGCGTAGTTTCGGAGATATCTCCGTTTGTCGATTAAAATGGGTCACCGTGTATATATTTTAAAAGATTTTTTTCTGAAGGTTAAATTGAAAAGAATAATTATAAATCTTATAATTCATTGATATGAAAATTTGCTCCGTAACATATTTATGCTGGCAAAAGAGTGGTTGAAATTGCCAATTTTCTGGCCGCAAGCAGTCTTAATGATAATTTTATCAATGTACTCAAAATGGTGGAAATGATAGATAACATAACCATCGGCAATAGTCTACAATTTGGTCGTTTTGCGGAATAAAACACGGCTCGAACGCGGAATAAAACCCAGCTTATCGCGCATCTTCTTCGCTTGAGAGGTGAAAATAACTCAAAACAAGTTTTACGAAGAAAGCCTTCTCTGTACCCCTGGAATAATTGAATGATGGTAAGCCGAACAATATCTTCAAAAATATTTGACAAATCTTTAAATGTATTTTTCTCGATATCATGTTTTCAAATATAGTAAATACGATATTAAAGAAACTACCAGTCCGACGGTTACGGATCCTTATGGTTATACATTTATACTCAACAAACATACCTTTATTGTCCATACCACAATCAATAGTATATACATTGATTTTTTCCATTATTTTCGTTAAATGAGGAATGTAATACATAAAATAGAAACTTTGTTTTCAAACTGTCGCCATATTGAAAATATGTACAACACACGATATCAATTATGCTGCTACTAACGAGAATTATAAGTCTATATATTTAGGAAATTGCTCAGTTTTTTCTACTGGATTAACCATAAGATTTCTAGAATAGTCACTGATTGATTATATTTATTAGGTGGTGAACTTAGTTCCTGCGGCTCACAGTTAGATGACGTTAGTTGTAGGTGTAATTTATTTTGACATCTGAAACTGGCTGCATTTTAGAGGTTAGACATTTGTCAATAAAATTCAGTGCAAAGAGATTCATTTAAGCGAATAGTGCTATTTTTTCTTTTGATTAAATATGGAACGCGATATGTTGTTTTTTCGACATGTGCTGCTTCATTACTTTGACTTGAAAAAAACTGCAGCTGCAGCTCATAAATTGCTTTTCGAAACTTATGGCAATTATGCTCCATCGGAAAGAACATGCCAAGTATGGTTTCAGCGTTTTAAGATTGGTGATTTTGATGTCAATGATAAAGTCTTTGGCTCAGGCCAACCGAAAAAGTTTGAAGACACCGATTTGCAGGCATTATTGGACGAAAACTCTACTCAAACGCTCCAAGAATTGTCTGCAGCATTAAATGTTACTCCGATGGCTGTTTCCAAACGTCTACATGCAATGGGAAAAATTCAAAAGGAGGGAAAATGGGTACCACACGAATTAACCGCAAATGCCATTGCGAATCGCTTAAACATCTCTATTTCTCTGCTCGCCAGGCAGAAAAAGAAGAGTTTTTTGTGGC